GAGTATTTAGAACCCTGTGAGAACTCCACATCTTATTTCCTTCCTTCATCCTCCTCGTTGGGCGACTGGAGCAGCTGCCCGCCATTCTAGAGTAGTCTGCTCCATTGTGGAGTATTTAGAACCCTGTGAGAACTCCACATCTTATTTCCTTCCTCCGTCCTCCTCGTTGGGCAACTGGAGCAGCTGCCCTTACTAATTGCCCTCCTTTTTCAGGTTGAAGTTCGATGTTCCTCTTCTGTACTACTAGTAAATGCATGCGGATGATCATCATTAAGAGAAAAAACAAAATTTAAGATGAAGATCTGAAGAAAAATGAACAGGAATATACCTCCGTCTTTACTCTGCCTCCTTTCATAATGTGCAAGTGTGCCGTTATGGCACATGGGGATGTGGGCAGCTCGCGCTCGACCGCAACCAACGTGGCGAGCTTTGTACATGAGAGGCACAGTAAAAAGGGAGTTGCAAGGGCAAATGTAAAGGGTACCGAAAGAAGCCAAAATGAACACAGTTAATAAAGGGATTTAAAGTTTTAAACGCTTGCTCTGTGTTAAGTTGTTAACTGTCTCATTGTTGGTTTGTGAGAGGCCACTGGCTCTATGAGCCCCAATCGGCCCCTTTTTGGGAGCCTGTCGGCCGCCGTAAGTGAAGGCAGGCTCGACGAGGCCCCTCAGGGCCTTATTTCGACCTCTGCGCAACGAAGGAAATTCAGGCAGTTGCGCAGCACCAGTTGGTTGAGAAAACCCAGGCCCTGGGCCGCGTGTGTGAATGAATGGAAAGCAGGCCCTGGGCTGGATACGGGTACTGGGCCAAACACATGCCAAGGGCAGTTGGGTGCATGCAACCGCCTCAGGGCCAGGCCTGTTCTCGAACGTGCTGGGCCTCAGGCTACCGGGGCCTACTGGACGCTTCCTGGGACTGGACGCAGGCAGGCCACTTCGATATAGCAAAGGGCCTGCCTCGTCATTGGGCATTCGGATGCTGGCTGCATGCTGCGCAAGCGCTGCTGCGCTATTTGCTGGCTGGCGCCTACGCGCTCGCGGGCGAGCAGGGAAGGAGCAGGCAGCCATAGCCGAGCTGCGCTGCTGTAAGCTGGGTGTGGCGCAGGGTGGTCCTTGGGTGCAAGTGGCATCTGTGTGTTGGGGAACGAGGTTGTGAGTAAGGCGAGAGACATACCTGGTGCTGGAAGCGTGCGACATTGGTCGCTGTATGCTCGTACTTCACGAGAGCTGTTGTCGTCAACTTCTGCATTGTAGTATAGTCTAGATAGGATCTGCCACATGTAGTCTGGACGCCGAGCGCCAGATAGGATATCAACTCTGGTTCTTCGTTGATGATGATGACGGGACTATTTCAGCATTGTCAATGATGAACTCTTGGTGTGTTCTTATTTGGTGAAACTCGTGATGCAATTCTGCTGTTGGTTCGAGGTCACGACTATCTGGACTCATATGTATGATGCTGTTTGATTGCTGAAGTTCGCTATTGCTCATCTTCCTTGCATTTGTCTCAACTCAAGTGTTTTCGTTGTCTGCAATAGGACTAAAGCCAGGGTAGTCACGCCGACGTTCGGTAGGCGCCGTCGGCGCCGACCGGTCGGCGATCGGAAAAAAAAAAAAGAAGAAGAAGTTAAAAAACAGTTTTTTTTTTTTTTT